GCAGCAAAAAACTGGAATAAACCTAATCAACAATGTGAAAGACCTATATAATGAAAATGTTAAAACTCTGAAAAAAGGAATGAAGAAAAGCACTAGAAGATGTAACTCACGTGCTCATGGAGCAGCACAAATAACACTGTGGAAAAGACCACCTACTAAAGGCAGTACAGAAAGTCAATGCAATCTCAATAAAAATCCCACTGATACCTCCACAGAAATAGAAAAAAAAAATCTTAAAATGTATATGGAAACACAAAAGATCCTGGATAGCCAAAACAATCCAGAGTCAAAAAAATTCTGCTGGAGGTATAGTGCTGAAACCATTCTGATTTCACTTTAAACTACAGAGTCCTAATGACAGAAAGCCCTAAGGGAACCTGCCACTATAATATTACTAAAGAAACACAATTGCCATCTGGCTTCAAAATATGCATCCTTGCAGTCACAGATAAGTGTAGTTCTCAGATCTCATCAAAGACATCTCATCAAAGACGTTTCTTTTTACAGCACTCATAAACTATTAGAAAGACCAAGAACTGGTCAAAATGCAGAGTGACTGTGGGGTGCGCCAAAGTCCGAGCAGTACATCTATGACACAAACCATCTGCCCAAAGCTTAGTGAACATCAAAAATGAAGGGACAGAAACCTTGTAAGAGCCTAACTCCTACACGACTGCTACATGATAATTTCTTCTAGAAATGAACAGGGATGCTGCTTCCTTGAACTCTCAACAATAGGGTTGACTTCAGTAGCCCTCCAAGAACACATTAGTCAATACACCAACATGAATGGAAAATTTCACAGTACCCATCCCCTAGAGGAAGAGCTACAGGCAGCCAGTGGTTGCTGAGGGTGAGAGAATCAGGGCTGTCCCCCCAACACCCAAGGGGTGAAGCCCCCACCCCGAGCCTAAGTGATCAAATGAACATGCAAATAAAGACAACATTAACTGGACACAGTACTTGTGTGTGTGTGTGTGTGTGTGTGTGTGTGTGTGTGTGTATGTGTGTGTGTGTGTACACAAAAATATTAAGAGGTCATGAATTCCAGAGGGGATGGCTATACAGACTGGATGAATTGGAGGGGAAAGGGGGAGGTGGTAATGATAAAGCGTACTCACGTATGAAATCCTCAAACGGAAAAGACAACAACAAAAACTCAGCAGGCTGCTGGCATGGAAACAGGCTAGATTCACGGAATACAGAGCTATGGTTGAGGGGTAGTTTCAATGATCAAACTGACATAACCAACCATGAGCTGGGAGAAGAGCTAGATCAGTTTGTCCTACAGGCCTGGCTGTGGTGGACTGTCTTGGTTATATTAAGTGATGGAGGGAGATCAGCCCAAAAGTGGGCATCACCGTTCTCTGAATTGTGGTTCTAGACTGCATCAAAGAGAAGAGTGTAAGCCGGGTATGACCAGCATGCATTCCCTCTCTGCTTTTGGTTATCAATGTGACTAGCACTTCGAGTTCCTGCTGCCTTGGGTTCCCTACAACAACAATCTGTAACCTGGAATTTATAAGCTACAATACTCTCTCTTTCCTAAGTTATATTTGTTGGGTATCTTATAAGAGTAACTGGAAAGGAAACCAAGAACATTGGTACCAAGAAATGAGGCCACTGTCATGACAAACCTAACCATGTGGTTCGTTTTTATTTCTCCCCTTTAGAAGAACAGCTTGGAACTCAGGCTAGGAAAGCTATTGAACGCTGTAAACAGAGCTTGACAGATCATTTTTCTGTGATGTGGAAGGCAGTAAATGCTAAAGAGGAATACTGACAGTCAAGCTCATGAGACTTCGGATACAAAGACTTCATCAGGAACAGTTAGGAACCACTTGTGTAATATTTCAGCCACAAATACAGCTTCATTCTTCTCGTGACCCAAGAACCCCAGTGAAGGAGAGTTTAAACATAATGGACTAGATTGTGATGTGGAGGGAATTTCAGGGCAGCATGGTATTCAGATAAGGACTGAGAAAGTAGCTGTGCTATTTAGAGACTACCAGTAAAGTGAAACTTCCTATATTGCATTGGGAAAATGGGAAAGTGTTTTCTGGGGTCAGCACACAGGGCTGAAACAGCTGTGGGAGTTTAGCTACTATGCAACTGCATCAGGACAACAGTTTTCTAAGTGCCTTCCACATGGTCCTAGCTTTGATGGCATAAAAGGTGCAAGACTGAGGAGAGTCATGAAAAGCACAAGTTCTGACTCAGAGGCTCTGAGAGACTGAACTTAAAGCTTCAGATGTGATGCAGACCCCAGATGCTAGGGACACCAGGACTGTGGGACATCAGATGTGATGCAGACCGCAGGCGCTGGGGAAACCAGAACTGTGGGACATCAGATGGAATGCTTCAGGGACAGAGCAGAACAGGCCTACACATGAGAAGCTATGTGCAAAGATGGAGGAGTGAGGACACCTGACACCTTTGGATCCCAGTGAATTATACTACAAGTCCCAGGTGCTGGACGTGGAGGTATAGGACTTGGTGATCTACTTTGATGGAGTTTGGTTAGCTCTCATGTGACTATTTTACAGAAAATAAGAAGTTTTAAAAATATAATGTTTGTATGTTGGCAGTATAAAACTTATTTTTTGTTTTACAGGAGGTCACAGTTAAGGGACTTGGACTTTTATTTAGAGTACTGGAATTTTTAAAGACTATAGGTATTTTTTAAAAGCGGAACTGTATCTTATATTATGACAAACATGAGACTTGAGGAACAAGAGGTATAGGATTATGGGTTAAAAGCAATGAGATTCTGTGGCAAGTGGACAAAAGATGGGAGTCACGCTGGGTAATTTTCACTGTAAACTGGACACAATCCAGCCAAAAAGAGTAGTGTCATTCCTCGGGCTTTGGTCCTCAATTACACAAAAGTGAGCTAGTGACAAGCATGTGTGTATTCCTTCTCTTTTTGCATGTGACTGTGGACATGACTAGCTGTTTCGAGTTCTTGCTGTCCTGAGTTCCATGCAACAATAAGTGGTAACATGAAATTAATATGTACATGTAGACTAAAGCTAGAGTCTCATTGCTTCCAAAAACCAACTCCAAATGGATGAAGGACCTCAACATAAGACCTGACACTCTGAAGCTGCTAGAAGAAAAAGGGAATACACATTAAGATTTAGTCACAGGTTAGAACTTTCTGAATAGGACTGTAATCACTCAGGACATGAAACAAACAATCAACAAATGGGAGCTCATGAAATTAAAAAAAAAAAGTTCTGTATATCAAAACGAACTATCAATCAAGTGAAGAGGCAATCTACAGAGGATTATTACCTAAAATATACAAAGAACTCAAGAAAGTAAAAACCAGGACAACAAACAATCCAATCAAGAAATGGGCTATGAAACTGAACAGAGAGTTCTCAAAAGAAGAAATATGAATGACTAATAAACTTACAAAAAGCATTCAACATGATTAGCCATCAGAAAAATGCAATTTAAAATACGTTGATGGCCAAGTTTTCATAGTGCTGGAAAGTTCTATGCTTGCTAACAGTGGACAGAAAGAATCAACAATCTTACCCAGGCTGCAATAACCATTGGCTTGAAAGATCTGACCACGGTACAACAGAATAGGGCCTGGACAGCCAGTAAGAACTGGATATGCTAACAAGAACTGGATGGATTAATTCCAACATCATCTAAAAGCAGGACTTTCTGATTGCCTTAAGGATTTTGCCAACCTAATTGATCATATCAAAGCAAATAAAAAGATGTTTTCTAGGCCTATAGATGTAGAAGTTCCTTAAATGGAAGATATTATTTCCTTGTTAAAAATGTTTTATGTATTTAATTGTATTTTATGTGTATAAGTGTTTTGCTGCACGTATGCAAGTGCACCACATGCATACAATGCCTGTGAAGGCCAGAAGAGGGCAGAGGATCCCCTAGAATTGGAGCATCAGATGTTTGGTAGCTGCCGTGTGGGTGCTGGGAACCAAACTGGGGTCTTTTGAGCCATCGCTTCAGTCCCAAGCTATCTCTAACATCAAATTGCCTGTACCATATGAACCATAAACAACATCTTATGAAAAGTGATCCTGCTCCCTCCTCTGTTCTCTCCCTACACAGTGTAGGTGAACACCAGCATTCTGAAGAGTGTTCTCTGAGATGCCTTCAGCTCAGTCATCATATCTGCTTCCACACGTAAGATCTATTTTCACCTAAATCATGATATGTCTTCATATTATTCATTTTTCATACTGTCCTTCAGGATTCTAATTTTAGTTACAAAAAATATATCATTAGCAACTTATCGTTAGCACTGCTAAAGAAAAAGGCAACTGAATCTTACGGCTGACAGTGTCAAAACCAGCTGCTAGATCATCAGTGAGGGAAGCAGAACTCAATCATACAGAATATAGTTCAATAGTAAAACGTGGCATGGTGGATTAAAGAAATAAATCAAAGTCTGTATGAAAGTATGAAAGCAAACTTTCAAAGGCATGTTTACAAAAAGAAAAAAAAAGAAACAGACCAAAAGGAATGTGTCCCCCAAATAGAGGATCATGTCGTATCAAACATTCTGTACGAGTTCACAGTGATGACCTCCACAGAGCGGATACAGTGATGAATAAACAGGGAGACTCATTTTAGTAGAAAAGGTAAGGATGGGGACAGCATGATTTCTTCCAGGGTCGATGAAGATGCCTGCCCTGCCAATTAATTAAAATATTTATTTGTAAGCACTGCGAAAATGTACAGGAAAACAAAGCAAAAACAATCCAGTCTTGGAAATGTAAATGCGAACTTGCTGAAGTGAGGTCCCTGTAGGATTTGAAATATAAGGATGCTATGCAGCAATTTAGATAAACTTTCTACAAGGCCAGTCTGTCATCCTTTGGAGAGGGAAGGCTAGAAATACTCAAGTTCAGAATTGCACATACGAGCACCAAACACTTTTATCTTTCCATCATATTTAAACATGTCAGCACTGGCACCATGAGAGAGGAGGAGACAATACAAAATCTACTTACTGCAGTCCATGCACTTCCTTTGCATCGAGCACACAGCCATCCATCACACACCTCATGTGAAGGGACACCGTAACAACCTACGAAATAATGGATGCGCGCATTAAGTCTCTTGCATCTTTAAATATTAGCCAGGACAGGCAGTCTCTATGGTTCCAGATACTAAGGAGGCTAAGACAAGAGGACCACAAGCTCAAATCCTACCTGGTTAAATGGTGAGTTCAAAGCTAGCCTGTGTTAACTCAGGAGACAGTGCTAAAACAGAAAGTGAAAAGAGGAGGATGTAGCTCAGTGGGAGAGTGCCTAACATGCACAAAGAACTAGGTAAAATGTCAAGTATGGAGGAAAAATGCATGTTTCAAAAATAAATAAAATTAGTCAACATCTAGCATACCATAGCTTTGTAGCAACTACCTAAAAAATAAAAAACATAAGCAAGCCTGTCTCAAAGTTACTATCGAATTTGTGCTTCATAACTATTATGATATATAGTCCCCCAAAACATGAAAGTATGGAAGTTTCTTTTTTCTTTTTTGGTCTTTTTGAGACAGGGTCTCCCTCATAGCCCCAACTGGCCTAGAACTCACTATGTAGACCAGGCTGACCTTGAACTCACAGAGAGCCACCTGCCTCTGCCTCCCAAGTGCTGGGATTAAAGGTGTGTGCCATCACATCCAGTGGAAATTTCTTAAATTAAAAAAAAATCTTACATATTATCATTAGTGTGAGTGTATATGATGTGTGTACAAGTGAGAGTGTGGCCGCAAGAGTGCCACAGCACGTGCAAGGAGGTCAAAGTACACATTTACGAAATCAATAATCTCCACCAGGGTTTCCAAAGATCAATTTCAGGTAACCCGGCTTGCAGAGCAAGTGCTTTTACCTGCTGAGCCATCTCACCTGCCTATTTATTTTGAATTCTTGACAGGGGTTCCCTGTGTAGTCTATGTTGATAGAACTTGTGATGCTACTGCTACAACCTCCTGAGAACTAGGTCAATCGGTGCACTACTACACTAGCACAAGAGTATATGTATTATACTAGCATAGAGTTAATGACTGCATAGACAAAAGTCAATTTTCTAAACTTCCACATCTAATATATCACTCATGAACAAACATTTCAAAATAAGTTGCAACTCATGAAACAGTTTTGGGGAATGTTAATAATAATAATGATAATGATAATGATGATGAACGGCATTAATTTCAGTGATCAGGCATAGTCCATGATGGATAAAGGACTCCTTTCAATTCAGTGTTTGATGGGTCAATGCCTAGACTAAAATAACTATGACGATGACAGATCACACAAATGTGTAATAATTATATGATGCCAAGAAACACTACTGGGTTAGAATCTAAACACCAACAAGATTTAAAAATAAATGACAACCCAGGTCCCAATTATGAAACCAGGTATGTTTAATACCAAGCGCTTGAGGTTCTAAGACAGAAGAAGATGAGTTCCAGGCCAGACTGTGCCACACAGGAAAACCTTGAGGAAGAGAACGGCGAAGGAGGGTGGGAAAGCAGAGGGAAAAGGCGGAGGAAGCATACAGAAAAGGAAGCCGCACATTATCCTGACTTCCTGAAATAAGAGGGTTTGGGAAACTTTAGAGGAGTGCTCTTAACAGTAAATTTTGGTAGGGGTTGAGATGCAAACATAAAATTACAAAGTTAATTAAGGAAAACCCTATCATAAGTAAACAAGAAGAATAAATTCTAAATTTAAGCATGTTTATGGGATATTATGGCCAGACCCTATAGCTGCTGCTTGCAGAAAATAAGATTAAAACCCTATTTGTTGTGTCCTGGTACTTTATCCCTCGAGTACATATAATAATATTGGGTAAATATATACATGCATGTGTGTTACAATCTGATATCATCACAAGAAGATTGCTATCAATATACTTCAAGCAGATAATGTCCAAATCACCTGTGAAAGCAGACCATACCTAATTATGGCAGTGATGCTATGTCAACTGTGAGACTGTGATTGCTTTGGGATAGTGCAGACTATGAAAATTACATTGTCAGCCACAGCAGCTACACTGGCAGGGACAACAACGCAGACATATGCTAGCAGAATAAATACACAATTGGCAGCTTGGGGTGTAGCCCAGTGGTACAACACATGCCTGGTACACATGAGGGCCTACAAAAATGTTAATAACAAAAACAGACATGCAAGAACACTCCCTCAACAGACAGACAAACGTGATTGAAGAGAAAAACCAGGAATAATAAAAATGCCTTAAATTACAGTTGTGGTGTATAACAGATATCTCCTACACATTCTAGGGCACTTAGGTGGCAATTCAATTTTTACAAATATATTTAACACTCATCAACCTGCATAAAAATATCTTGGAACCTTCTGTAACAACTTCTCCCTGGAAGGTAGTAAAGGTTTCCCTACCCTTGTGAAGAAAATAATTTAACTCAATAATTATCAGAATCTTCAAAAGAATATTAATTTCTTGTTTAAAAATAATAACTATAGTCTTTGATCGACATCACAAACTTAGATTTTCACTATCTACTATCTTTTTTTTTCTTCCCTGTAGCCCCAAGCTGCAGCTGGCCTGGACCTCGTTATATAGATCTGATCACACAAAAACCTGTGCCTCCCAAATGCTGGGATTAACAGACAATCTAGTATCCAAAAGAAGGAAAATTCAGGGACTGGAGAGATGTCTCAGCAGTTAAGAGCACTTTTTGCTCTTGTAGTTGACCCAGGTTTGGTTCCCAACACCCACATGGCAGCTAACAACCATCCTTAACTGCAGTTCCAGGGATCTGACACCTTCTCTGGCATTGTATGCAAAGGTGAATTACATACATGCAAGAAAAATACTCATACATATAAAATTTTTAAAAAAGATCAAAAAAAATTTTAAGAAAAAATAAGCAAAACATGTGAACGGGGTCCATGACAATACCCAGATCCCAAACTGAGAAAATATCAAGACTTCACTTCACTAGTACTTCAAAAACCAGCAGAGAACAGGGAGATTACCTATTTACAATTTTATGTAAGAAACAACCAGTTAGAAAACTAAGAGTGGGATTGTAGTTGTAGCTCAGGTGGTAAAGACCTGGATTCCATCCTACCATCATATAAGTCCAGGCATGGGAGCACATACCTGTAATCCCAGCCTTTCAGAAGTAGAGACGAGAGGGTCAAAAGTTTTCAAGGACATGTCGTGACGACATAGTAGGCAAGAGGCCAGCCCAGGCTACGTGAGCTCTTGCCTCAATAAATGCCAACATTTAAAATGACAGATTATAAGACGTGACTCTTAAAGGCTAAGAAAAACACTGAAAAGCCAGTTACCAGAGAATCATAAACTTATTTACTTGCATGAACCCGTACAAAGCACTTGGCACAGGAAATCAGAAGACTTGTTCCATCCTCTTCAAGGAAGACATTGGGGGGGGAATACTCTATATTTTCTTCACTATAGATAAAGCACATCTCTGGAATGATGGGTTTAGTCTTTCTTCCGGATTTAATCACATCGTCTAATTTTGTCTCCCATCTAGAATCATTTTCTTCATTGCTGCTATCTGGCTGAAAAAGATAACATTTCCACATGAGTAAAAAATAAGAAAAGAGTTCATCTTTTATTCAATAATCCACTAGCACCTGTTCTAACCACTGAATTACAACTTTCTCCTGTTGTTTTCCCTAACTCAAGTGCTAACATTTTACCAACGGTCTTGTCAGGACTCCCATTCTGAAATGAATCAATAGGAATAAGAAAAGTCTAACTGTAGGCTCATGCAAGAACATGATAAGGCCTGCAAGCTCCCTGAGATGGGCCAGTGATGAATGCATCTCTCACCAGAGAAGCATCCTCGTGAAGCAGATGGTGATAACAGAGACCCAGAACTGGCCAACATGCAGAGAATAAAAGAACACAGTACTTATCCCTGAAGAGGACTCCTATATCAAACCTCTGTCTCCCAAAGCTCAGGGAACATGGTGGAAGAGGGTGAGGAAAGATTGTAAGAGCCAGAGGTGGTAGATGACCACAAGGAAATAAGAGTTTCCAGACAGCTGGGCAGTTACTCCTATGAACTCACAATAATGGTGACAAAGTGCACAAGTCCCATATAAGCTCAAGCCAGCCAAAATCCCAGCGCAGAAGTAGAAAGTGGGTAAGAAACCCCAACCCTGAAAAAGTACTGGCAACCAATGGCTGCCGGGAGGGGAGAGTCAGACTGCCTTAGGGGTGTGCCTCTGGGTAAGCTGACCAAGCTCTAGTGGATGGACCCACATTGAAGGGCATTTGGGGACACAACTTTGAGTCAGCAGGCCTTTAAAAAAATATGATTCACGAAATTGGACAGGTGGTACCATGGAGAGGTGCAGATAGGGGAGGGAGTCTAAAGATGATCAAAATCTATTACATGAAATTCAGAAAAGTTCAACAAACCAATCAATCAGTCAAAGAACAAGGAAGAGCCATGGGGTGATGCACTTGTGTTCCTAATACCAGTGATGAGGGAGGGGACAGCAGATACTTCAGGCTCATGGGCCAGCCTTATCTACTCAGTGAGTTATAGGCCAGCAAGAAACCCTGGCTTCAAAGGAAAAGAAGACGGAGCCTGATTGATGACACTCCAGGTTATTCTCTAACCACACCAGTAAGCACACAATGTACGTGTGTACATACATACACATACATACATACACACACACACACACACACACACACACACACACACACACAAAACCCTATTGCATTAGATATTTCTATTTCAGGCAGTACATTTCAGTAGATTATCAGTGGTGAATGACAGAAGCAACATTGATAAGAATAGTAATAATAATTCCAGCCAGGGCTTAGCTAGCAATCTATTGAGACCCCATGCCAAGAATGCACACACATAAAACCAGACAAACTCAAACACACATCTAGAGAACACACAAACTTTGGGACTATTCCATAATACTTTACTAATGTACTACCTTTAAGTATTGCTAGTCTTATGACAAAGATTATTTATGCATACAGGTAAACCAGAGCAATCTGGTGAACACCATTAATAGAAGCTTATTTATGGGTGAATACTATTCTAGCATAGGATTTTCTGTGGTAGCATAATATGACATTGGTGAATAATTACTGAAGGTTTCTCTTCAGGAAAATGTCAAAGCCTCCTGAGTAGACAGAAGTAGATTTATGAAAATACAGATCAGTAAGCAAATTTGGCAACTGCTTTAAAGTATCTGGAATCAAATATTGGTGACATTTATTCGCATTAACTAAGTGCGTAGCACCCTCAAGGACAGCACATTTATGTGAAGAGACGCAAGAGTAATAACAACACTACATACCAAGATTCATTAAAAGAAACGAGTGTGTCCAAACCTTGGAGTTGTATGGAAGGAAGGACACACTGTGGGAACAATGTTCAAGATCTTTTTACTGTAAGACTTTTTAAAACAATATTTTACTATTTTTATTACTTGTTATGACCGTATTGCCTGCATCTATGTAAGTGCACCTGTATCATGCAGAGCCCACAGAGGTCAGAAGAGGTCATCGTATCCCCTGGAACTGGAGTTATGGATAAGTGTTCGTTGCCACGTGAGTGCTGGCAATCAGTGCTCTTAACCACTAAGTCATCTCTCCAGAGTTGGCAATACGTTAATGACTAGCACAGAATTCTAAAGGGAGCATTTAATCTGAAGCATGCACACCCACACACTGTCTTTTTATTTGTTTAAGTACAAGTACTGAGGCTAACAAGACTTCCTAAGCTAAGGCAGAAGTGTTTTTCCTTCTGTAAGCATGTTCAAAATTTAGTATTTTAAAAATACAAATATTCCAACCGGGTGTGGTGGCGCACGCCTTTAATCCCAGCACTCGGGAGGCAGAGGCAGGTGGATCGCTGTGAGTTCAAGGACAGCCTGGTCTACATAGTAAGTTCCAGGACAGCTCGGGTTACAGGGAGACCCTGTCTGGGAGTGCTAGGATTAAAGGCCTGAGCGACCATGCCTGGCTGGATTGATTTTTAAGATAAAAGATCTTTGTTATTTAATGACTTGGGAGCCATTCAATCTCATCTGTGTTAATTTTTTTTTTAATAACGTGCTGTGTTTCATGGGAACATGTAATTAGTTAGAGGGAAACTACTCAAATGACCAAATTCTTACTAAGAAATTAATGATACAAACTAAAAAAATTTTAAAAATTAGAAAAGGACATGACAACCTCTTAATATTGTGTACTGAAAGTGTTCATGAGATACAAAGCCACTTCTGATTAAATTTCATGTTTCATTTGCAGTAGGTTAGCAGCTACTTTGATTTACTGAAACCATGTGGTTATACTTGAAAGAGCAAATACAACATATCTAGATTTTACATGGACAGCACCAAGGAAAGACCTGAAAGACCCATGCTTCCCAAGGAACCTTGAACAATGAGAGACAAAACTAGAACATGTGGTCATGTAGGAATACTGTGCTAGAAAGGAAAAAACCCTCGCTGGTTGCTAAGGGCATGGCTTTTTCCTTCTCTGCTCCACTAGCCCCTTGTGGGCAGACGCTGACATCTACAGCTTGCTGCAGTGAAGGTTTTTCTTTGGAATGCTAATACAATTGTCCTTAAGCTTAAAGCCAAACCATATGGAAGATGTTCAGCATCAAAATGGCATTTATTAGAAACTATAACTAATGAATTCCCTCATGCGCTGTAGATCTTAGATGTATAAATTTCCTTAGGCTGACATTTTTACATTATTAGAAAATACAGGAGTATATCAGAATGCTTAGATAAGAAACAATAAAAAGTTTAAACATAGATAAGTAATGACTAAAGGAAGGTAAACCATGAAGTGAGTGAACTAGTTACAGAGCCTAAAAATGTGGAATTTGTGGTCTCCCCAGCTCTAAAATATCTGAACTTCTTTTCAGATCGGAACTTATCCCTACATAAAACTCTTAAGAAATTTATGATCTTGAGTAAAGTATTTCTGATTACAGAAAGCATAGCCAAAAACAATGATCATATCAGTATGTTTTCTAGCACATTATACCTTAAAGTAGACCATGTAATTTCACCCGTACAAGGTTCAAGATCTGTTTCTTAGTTAATGCTGAAAATTTTGCCCATCCCTGAATAAGAGACCGTCAATAGAACATCCATGGGAATGATGCCAGCCGTACATGGAGGCTGATGGGAGCAACTGGACAATTCAGTTCGCATTTAGTCCTGCTCCATCTTTTGCATGTTCCACATTTTGAGAAGGTGAGGAAGGCATCAAGAATGAGGGCCCAGAGCCATTATTTGTATTATTGGAAAGTACCACTTTCAAATTTAAAAAGATCCTAGGCCTATGTTTTTTCTATGAAATATTCATTTTTAGGCTTTAAGATAGAATTTTGGCATTTGTTAATAAAAGAAGTAGATTTAGAATTGCACATTCGCCAAAATGCAGGATGCACTGATTCAAACAAACAGGAATAAGGAAGCCTAGCAAAGGCCACGGAACGCAGAGTAGCGAAAGGGCACCTTGCTGTAAGCACTTCCATTACCTTGTAGTAGGGCATGAGCAGCGTGCAGATGGCGCAGTGCGGCTCCATGTTTGCCACAGCTGCATTATACTCCTGTTCAGCCACAAAGTTAGGGGACTTTGTCTGCCATAGGTGGATGAGAGGCTTTGCCCAGGATTCTGTTTCTTCCACATCTTCCTCGGTTGTTAGAACCTCAGGCAATTCTGAGAAGAAGGAACAAAAACAAAATTAGCAAAGGAGGCAAATATACCTAAATGCCTATGATCTCCTCTGCAGACACCAAGCCTATTTTGTTAACAATATTCTGAGAGAAACAGAATAATGCGTTTCCTTAACGTTTTCAGTCCTGGAAGGTTGTATCAGACCATGAAATCAAAAAACCAACCTCCGTTGTAATCTATCTCATCCTTGGTGGGAAAAATTAAGCCATAACTTCCTTAATCTTCAATTTTCAGTACTCTGACCTGCACTGTAAAACTACTCATGTTAAATAAGTGTGTGAGACCATATTCCAGTTAGTAAGGAAGCATGTGTAAGCTAGTGACTACGTTGTTAATGTCTTTACCTTCTTCACCTAATGCAGTATCTGGCTCAACAAACATTTATCAATTGGACTTTGTTAAAGCTTTTGGATTCTAGAATCCATGGTGTTACAGAGTACCCATAATGTGGCAAACAGTGTAGCTGTAACAGGAGAACAGGACATAAACATTCTTTATGGTAATCAAAATAAATCCAATGTTCATGAAAAATTCTTGTTAGATCAACTGCTGTGAATATCTTCTTCTGGAAGAGTATTAATGAATATCAATAACTAGTAAATGTAAGACGTTAATGTTATAAAACATAAAATGGTGACTATATGTACTATCAAAGATCTTTATGTCAAGTGGGGCTGGAGAGATGGCTCAGCAGTTAAGAGCGCTGGTTGCTTTTCCAGAGGACCTGGATTCAGTTCCCAACACCCAGATGGTGGCTAACAATTGTCCTAAATTTCAGTTCCAGGGGATTCAACACCCCTTTTCTGGCCTCTGTGGGCACTGCATGACATGGGAACACTTACATTCAGGTAAAATACTCACAAAAATAAATGAATTAAAAAAACATTTTTACAAAGATCTTTATGTTAAATTTCTTTTTCCCAATAAAAACTGCAGGAGATATAATAGCAATAATACTCAGAATCAAGGTACTCTTATTATATATAATTAGAAATGGCTGCTATTAAATCTTAATAATACCTCGTATTTTTAGAATTAATTTTAAATCATAGTTGTCACATTAAGATATAAAGACTATTGCCTGCTCTTTTACAAAGTGCTTATACTGTCCTATTTAAAAGTAAGGGAAAAGTAGTCATTTGAAAAACAAATTTTGATAACTATTCGGCTCGCTTAGAAGCCTTTTCAATGATCCTCTAGCCTCTGTGTCTTCAACTCTATTTATTCTGAGTCATGTTTTTAGAAGTACAAATTTTGAATTGATTACTTAGTGCCGAAAGGTTGGTCTCTCTCTCTCTCTCTCTCTCTCTCTCTCTCTCTCTCTCTCTCAATGATTGCTTGCATCAAAAGGTTAACTTGGGCCCACAAGATGGCTCTGTAGGTGAAGGCACTTGCCAACAAGTCCAAACATCAGTGTTCCATCCCCAGAACCCACATGGCAGAAGGAGAGAGAATATAAGTCGTCCTCTGACCTCCACATGCACATTGCAAGTGAGAGGTGTGCATGTGCATGTGTGTACGCACACATACATACACATATACACACACATATATGAGTTATTTAACTTATGATTCCAGACGGTTAGAGTCTATCATGATGGGATGCATGGCAGCAGAGGTGGCCAGAGCAGAAAACCTAGTGATCACATCTTCAAGCAAGCACAGGAAGCAGAGAGAGATGGGAAATCTGGCAAGGCTTAAGAACTCTTAAAACCTTTGTCAGTGATGTGCTTCCTCCAGCAAGGATGCACCTCCTAAAACCTCCCAAAACAGCACCACCAACTGAGGACAAAATGTCCAAATACTTGGAGCCTATGGGGGATATTCTCATTCAAACCACCACACCAACCTAGCAGAATGCTAGAAAGTCAACATGCAGAGTCCTGGAAAGGCATTCAGCCCAGACTGGTTCCCTGCCTGTCCTTTCTGCCTTCATATTTTTGGGAAACATTCTTTATGTTTCCAAGGGTTGATGGTGAGTCAGTTCAGAGTTTGTGTGTGTGTGGCGGGAGTTGGGGGGCACTTGCATATGAGGCCTTGGGGGAATGCCTGGCCCCTTCCTGGCTACCACCCCAGTGGTTTGTTAGCTATATGCATTTTTCAGCCTTCTGTGAGGACAATAAGCCTGTTAATAGGAGGCAATAAAAGAATAGTATTTTCTCACAAATAAAAATTTAAATCTATAGTTACGCATGACTATGTAATATGTATACACTGTCTATACATGCCTGTGTTTTCATATTGTTTAGGTACTGCTAGGTTTGTATGTTTAGGTATCTTTAGATACAATGGTATCAAACGGTCATATAAGTGGATGTTTATGCAAATTAATTTTTTAGAAAAAGTAGTATACAGAATTTTTAAAATGAAGAAACTCAGTTCATATTTTAACTGACGATGAAGAATAATGGTGAGGGACAAAGACAGGCAATTCAATGAGGCCGCTTTGGGTGAACAGAGAGATGCAGTAACCATAACTTTGTCTTTCCCATAAAGACCTGAGCTTTAAATTTAAATAAATAATTGGAAAAGGGCAGAAGAGATGCACATACGTTAGGGAAGTCTGGTCAAGATACGCTCTCCTGGATCATTTTTCAGTTCTGCATCCACAAGATGGCCTAAAATTCTTATTGTTTAATGATGGCCTGGTTTGCAGAAGGTTTTTCCTGCTCCAGGTACATTTTTGAACTTGGATTATTCCTCTAACCTGGGTGGGGGGAAGGAGTCTTCCTGCTCAGCTTGTTCCAATGATTGGAAAGATGATTTGTCTCCACGCTTCTAGCTTTCCTGGAGTATTAACCAGTGGTAAGCATGTAACTCAACATGGAGACAACAGGACCCAGAGAGTCTACATTAATTTTTAAATTTGTCTATTGTAATTTTAAACAAGAATAAAATGAAGATAATTCAAGGGCCCAGGCAAAATCATTACAGAAAGAATAAGATCAACTGACATCATTAACCTTAGGGAATAACATATTTCCCTAGCTAGATTAAGTACCTGCTACCTCAGAGAAACCATAGACTGAAGAGGGCTTATAAAGGGGCCATGATTACCGAAGTTATGGAAAACCAAGTCACTTGAGAAAGAACTGTTCTCATCAGGGTTCTAAGAAACAGGGATCTGTCTCCTCCACAAAGAGGGAAAACACTGGTAAGGACTGATATATTATCCTATGAAAGGAGGATGGTCATTCTGTTCCTATGAAGCAAGGATGGTCATTTAGCCCCTATGAAGGAAGGATGGTCATTCAGTCCCTAAGAAAGGAGGATGGTCATTCAGCCCCTAAAAAAGAGGATGGACAAGGATGGAGAGATGGCTCAGCGGTTAAGAACACTGCTCTTGCAGAAGACCTGGGTTTGAATCCCAGCACCCATATGGAGCTAACAACAATCTGTAACTCCAGTTCCAGGGGATCCAATGGCCTCTTCTGTCCTCTGTGGGCATTGCATGACATGGGGACATGGGTGCACCTACCGACATGCAGGCAATATACACATACACATAAAAAAATAAATAAAAATAATAAAACATTTAAAAAAAAAAAAAAAAAAAGGAAGATGACCATTTAGCTCCTAAGAAAGGAGGATGGTCATCCAGCCCCTTATGGAGGGAGGATGGTCATTGAGCATCTCAGCTAGGAGTGTCATATCCTGCTTCCCACCAATTTTCATGCCTCCTCCCTGGAAATCTGAGCCTCAGGCTCTTGCAGTGAACCCTGCCCATCTCCAAAATAAAGATATAAAAAGAGAGCCCCCTCCCCTGCCACACAGGCTCTGATTCGCTTCAGAGACTCAACCATGTCTAAATTCTTCTTGGAAACCCCACCATGCTGTTGCCCTTCTGTATGTCTGCCTATGGGCATGGCTAACTCTTCTAATAAGCTCCTTAGTACCCACTGATCTGTCTCAGTGTCCTGTTTAACTACCTGCCCCATTCAAAACTCAACAAAATGGTACCATGATGCAGATGGAGTGCAGTGAAAGGGATTAAACTCAACTTCTGCCTCCTCCTCTTTTCACTGCATTGTTGCCTCTCTTCTCCCTCTACCCTTTCTGCATCCAACACAGCCCTCTGTAGTCCTTTGGTAAATCTTTCAAGTCTCTGGGAGGGACAGCTGTCCATCTCTGGACGAGGTCAAATCTCAACACTGTGTTAGGTATACTTTCTCAGAGCTCAGCCCAGGGCCAGCTCAGATCATTCAGTGCTGGAGTGTGAACCATGCTTTATCCCATCTACTAGCTGTGATATCCCTCTTGCTCTTCCTCACTTACTTGATCACCAGACCTTGTAGGGTATAGTTCAATCTCAACTACCTAAGGATTCCTCTCTCAGATGTCTTTTAAATAATCTCAATACGCTTTATGCTGGGAAACAATCAAAATAAGAGACTGACTCCAGTATCTAACCACAGTATGAATCAGAACATGGAGCTCTGTGGTCTTAAGAGGGTACTTTGCACATCAAAATTCTTAATTTTAGTATTTTATTTATCATTTTTATTTTATGTATATGAGTGTATTGCCTGCATGTAGGTAAGTGCACCCATGTCCTGCAATGCTCACGGAGGACAGAAGAGGGCTTCAGATTCCCCCTGGAACTGGAGTTCAGACAGTTGTTAGCTGCCATGTGGGGTGCTGGGATTCAAACCCGGGTCTTCTGAGAGAACAACCAGTGTTCTTAACCACTGAGCCATCTCTCCAGCCCCAACACATCAAAATTCTTACAGACTCATGTGTGAGATTTAGGCTTTTAAAATAAAATGTCAGCATTTTTTTGTCTGTCTCTCCTCACATTTGCCCAGCACCATCTTCTTCTCAGAATGTTCACATGCTTGATACCCTAACTCACTGTCACAAGTTCCTGCTCCTGTACCCTTTTTCTTTCCTTTCTTGCCATTTTTCCAAACTAGCCAATTGAGCAGACTGTGAGGTTGAGCCTCAGTCAACGAAGAACAGCCAAGAGCGCTTGCATTGGGGAC